GAAGATTATTAAAATTTAAGTAAAATTTAAAAGTATGATATAGTATTTATAATTAACTATTGCGTTCCCATATATTGTACGAGAGAGAAAGCCGTATTTATAGGATTCTATTAGTGGAACGTTTATAAGTAATAAATAAAAATCTTTGACTGGATTTTAATAAAGAATATTGAAATAATTTTATATATCTTTTCGTATTGTCTTTCTTTATGTATCGGAGAGAGATTGTAATAAAATAGGTGATAAATGGGATTTATAAAGTAAAATCACTTAATTCTTCGAGGAATCGTCGATCGTTGTAATGAAATTACTCGTACTATCTCTTACTTTTTATTTTGCATATTACAACGAATATAAATAAAAATACTTATAAGCTTATGAAATTTATTAAATAAATCTGAATATATTTGTAGCATTGCATTGGGAAATAACGAAATCATTTATTAATTATAATTTATCAAGGTTTGATATTAGTTATATTTTAAAATAAGTACATTTCATTATACTATTTATTATTATATTTAACTATGCTATTTAGAATATAAATAGAAATTTTGATTATCTTTGAAGAATTAATTATATATCGCAATTCATATAAAATTAGATTATTATATGAGCATAGATAATGTTATAATATATATATCATCATTATCATACAGTCGATAGAATACTTTTCTGTATATGTGCTTTATTTAAAAATCTCTAGATTTACTTTACCTTTGAGGGTATTTTATTTATGAATCGATGTATTTATATTATGAACATTTATACATAAAATGAATATTTATACATAAAAAGTATCTACCTTTATTGAGAGCACAAATAGAAAATACATTTCTATTGTTAATAATTTTTGAATTATATAAAAGTAAAACCATAAATCAAATAGAACATGTATGAAAGATATTCTGTTATAAACATTGTAAAGTTTTCATTACATTTTCTGTGAGTTATCTTCATGTATTACATCGTATCAATAATGTTCAATATATATTAATTATAAAGATTATAATGATACTGTTCTATACATTTTTCTCACTCACGTGAACATCGTTTTATCTTTTATTTTTCAATTAACATATGAAACATTCGAATTCATGTTGGTGTGTTTAATTACAATCAAAATATAATGCTTATATGTGTATGAATTATCCCTTTACATTCATTACATTAAATGATATGAAAGAAAATTTTTTCATTAACAAAAATTTAAGTGAAAAAACTCATCAATTTTCAGAAACTAAGCACTTTTCAGAAAATGCAGATTTCGCTTTGGTTAAAAAATAATAGTAAATAATATTCATATTCTAATTTTACACTTAATTTTTTTATTATTTAAATTTAATAATAATATATTTATATTTATATATAACTGATATAATATTTGCATATAATGGTTAAAAGAGTTCATCATTGTTTTAAATATTAATCAACAATAGTGGCTCACTTAATCATTCTGCTTTGAACACATCAAGGAGCTTTACATTATGCTTTATTCATAAACTGACCTTTCGTCTACATATTATTGCATAGTGTGAAAATAATTGTAAAGCACAGAACATGAATAAATAATAATATATTAATGGGTAAAAAATTATTTAAGACAAGGTTTACGAATATATAGATCAATATATTTCGTAAGATTTTGTTTATTTACATAACGCGTATTAATTAAATGTCATAAAATGTAATAGAAAGTAAAAAAAAATACCTAAGTAGTTTTCAATAAAAAATATATGTTTAAGAAAATAATAAAACCTTTGTAAATTTTGAATAGAAACATAGAAACAAATCAGTTAATTTAATTATATTGTGCAAAGCGACTTACGAATGAAAATACACTTGCACATAATTAATTATTATCTAATATTTATAACGCATAATTTATTACATTTTTAGAAGGCCAATTTTATAATTACAAAGTTAATATATGAACAATTGTAAAACAGATAAATTAAATACAAATGATCATGTTTTTTTTTTTATAAATGGATGAATCGTATATTATATTTTATAATACTTTGTATAACACCTAATAACGATATATGAAAGAATTTATATTATAATAACCGGTAAGTTCCATTCGTCAAGTTATAGTATTTTAATTATATATACGTTTTAATGTTTTAAACAATACGAATAAAAAAAATTAAATATTGTTTTGACGCTAAGTTTATATATGGTTTAGTCACTGTTTTACCAACTATCGTTGATGGTGCGGAGCATAAATTTTTGAATACATGATTAAGTTTAAAAAAAAAAAAAAAAACTCTTTTCAACGAAAATATTCAAATATTATTCGATTTAATGCATTCGATGTTTCATATTGTATATGATTACATATATTATTACATATACTGTGATCTCTAATTTAATTAAATAATATTATTTTAACAATACTTCCCAAAAACTTTTGATAATAATTTATTCTCATTACGCCTAAGTTTTAGTGTATATGAACCAGTTAATGATAAATATTTCAATTGTGATAGTAAAATTAATTTGTTAGTTAACTATTTCTTGGAATATTATTACGTACGAACTCTATTTCTTTCTAAAGTTAAAATTATATTTTACTTTTAGTTTAACATGTCATGAAATAATGTATTTGTACTTCTGTTAAATTTTTTGATTGAGCCTTTAGAGATAAAATTTTTTAATAGTTTATTAATTTGTCGTAAGAGTAGTATATTTAATATTGACAATTTAATAGTTAAGGCTATATATAATTTATTATTATTTAATGGTTTGTTAGAAAAATTAAGGATGATGGTGTAATAATAGGGAAAAATCTTTCTTTAAACAATTGAAGAGAAATATCGATTTTTATTTAATCTGATAAATGATTTCACATGTTAAACGATACATTATATATTTTAATATTTGTTAATTATGACTAATAAAGTGTCAACACAGTCGATAATTTTAACAAGCATTCATTTTAGATTTATGTACGTTTACGTTTACAATCACCAATTGTGAACAGCAATGACATAAAGATTTACCATAGAGTCAGATAATCGTAATGTAGTTTCGACAAAACTTTCCGTAAGTATTCGTTAATTAATAAATTGAGTATGAAGAAAATCAATTGAATTACCCAATGAATAAAAAGCAGACGATACATAATATTGTGAATCTACCGATGCAAGAAAAATGAGAAATAAATTTGAAAATCTCATAGTAACATTTGATCCCTTAATACCATAAATCCAATTTTCTTTGTACATAATACGTCCATTCTGGTAATTCAATATTCTTATATTGATAATTTCAATTATTTTTTAATTTATGCCTTTTTATGTTTTAAGAGGTCAATGTCTTTACTATTGGATGTGAACAATCAATAAGTGTTTGTTATTTATTAGATGAAAGAAAAAGGATTTTAATACGTCGAACCACTCGCCCCGTAAGATTCCGATTCCGATTCCGATTCCAATTCCTTTGAATTTATTACTATACTCTATAATTTTTGACAATAATTCATTTTATTCTTCTCCTCTTTGATTCTTTTCTTTTGAAATAGTAACGTAGAATGACGTCTAAGGATCGTTCTAATGGATTATTTCTGCGCATATTATTGGGCAGTGTGATCGACGTTTTAGAAAATCAATGAGAAAATCACAGAGAACTTGAATTTCGCATGTAGAATATACCAAAATGCATATATATATATATATATATATATCTTGCATAATCCAATTCTATGAAATTAATATTTTATTCAATATATTTGACACTTAGTCTATAACGGAATTATATATATATATTTTTTTTATTTATTTATTTATTTATTTTTTTCTTATTCATACGTCAAATAAATGCTTACGCTTTTTTCATCATCATCATCTTCTTCTTCTTCTCTTCTTGTGCATAATACTCGTGAACGTAATTTCTTTGAATGACAATTTCTAGATGACATCTATTATGATTATATATAATTATTTTCAACGCAGAAATATATATTATATGTTATTATTTATTAAAACATATAATTCGGCTTAATAACATCGTAGACATAGCATATAATATTTTTTCATTAATTTTTATCTTAATATGGCAAACGATCGTTTGATTTTTCCTTTCTTTCTATCCACTATTCATTCGCATATTTTGTTGTTGCAGCTAGTAGTAACGTTTCACGCCTACGCTTATTCCTTCCTATACACGTCGATCAACTCGTCGAAAAATACTTTATCTATGTAAATTTATATAGCTTTATTGTTATGATTACATAATTACTTCATCTCTTATTAATATTAAAATATTCTTTTCATTGACTCGTTTAGTTTGGCATAGTTGCATTATAATTTGTTTATTAAGATATTTCGATCAAAATTTGACCAGTAGCATGCGAACACGTTCCGTTTGTAATCGCGCAGATATGTGGACATAAACGTTAATCGAAATGACTTTTTAAGGGAGGAACGTAAATCAACTGTTATTTACTTTTTGCATGACTTTGATATAATCATTAACAATTGAAGCACATTTTACAGCGATCGTATGAAGACACGGAAACATCAAATGAACGCGACAATATATTCAATATCCGCTGATTTACTTCACTTAATTTGTATTTCTTTATTGACATATTTTTGTATTATTTATTTATTTATTTATTTTTTTATTGGATAATAGTGAGTAGCTAGGAACGTTGATTAAAGCTTGTAATGTTGTTCTTCCGTTTTATTATAGGATAGTTTACAGATTAACAAGGATAAAGTAGACGTAACATACAGTATTTGAAATTAGAAGACAAATAGCGCAGACTTAATTAAGCTGAACGTGATCTGTAAAGCAAGCGTTTGTTGAAGAATAAGTGGGCGCAAATTATCACGAGACTTTGAAAATTTGAGTAATCATCGTCGCATGCAATCATCGGCGAAGCAAAAGTAACGGGCGTTTGTAATGCGGTAGAAGCCGATCCGCGCTTTCGACGCGGACAATTAGTTGTCTCCATTGGAATCTTTAGTCTCTCGCGCTGTTTGTCGTTCCTTTGCCTCTATTGTATTTATTGTAGCTCTGTAGGGTTTTTAATTCGACTGTATTTGCCCATTGGTATTCCGTTGCCTGACGGCTTCGTCGTTGCTCGTTGCCGTCACCGACACTCGGGCAGTTAGAATGAATAAACGTCGCCTGCGCATACGTTGACCTCATCGCTGCTGCCCAATTGTTTAATAGACCGTCTTCCCGAATATGAAGTTACCGGCTGAAGTTGGGTCGTCCGACGAGAAGAACTGCTGCCAGAGCTTTTCGAACTTCTCGCGCGTCACCTCGTTGCCCTGCAAGTCGTGCACGCTTTATTTTAGTAAATTTTATTGGTGACAGGGGAGATTGGGTTTTGGTATTTATGAGTCGTAGAGCTGCTCGATAAACTTTAATGCTTACTCCCAATATTTTTAAGCTGCTTAAATTACATTTTATCGATTAGTTTTCTATATCTTTTTCTTTTATTAATGGTACAACGATAGGTTGAAGATTAATTTTTCGAATTATGTATGTCATTAGTTATTTATAAAGCCAAAGACGAATAAGAAAAAACGATGGGAAAGGAGAGAAAAAGGAAAAATAAGAAATTCATACGCATCGAATGATAGAATTATTGAAAATTATGTAAAATATATCAGTACCATACTTTCCATTACCTTAAGTATACGTTACCTGCTGTTTCTTACATGGAGATTTTTCTATAAATAACTTAAAATATTCAACTGAAATTTAAATACCATAAATAAATGTAACACTTCGTATAAACATATCTATTGAATATCTTAAAAATTTAGGATAATGTTATCATATTGTACTATTTATTTCATTATATATGTATGTGTTAGCGGGTTAGGGGGAAACTGATTTCAATTGAGAATACGAGATAGAAATATAACACAATACTAAAATAAATCATAAGATGTTGTTTTTGCTGAAATATTATAAGAATATCGAGTTAGCAGATGTTTTTATTAAAATAGTATAATATATATATATATATATATATATATATATATATATTGTTACATTGAATTTATTGGTTAAATTTCTTCTTTTATTCAACTCTCGTAAATTCTATTTATCGTGTAGTGGCAATATTGTTGTGTAATAATAAAAATTCATAATGATTTGGTAAATCGGTGGCGCATTTCAAAACAGAGCCTATAATGATCAAAGTAACACATTTCATATCCTACTATGTCAGACGTGTATTGTAATATTGTAAATGATCTATTCCAATGAAATACAATTTTCTTAAATAAACATTATTTTATGAGATAGCTAAGAATTGAAATCGAAAGTCGTTAAGTGACTTATCAATTCTAATAAATCCCCGATATAAGGCCGACTGGTATTGCCAGAAACTCAGGCGAAACATCTATTTACGGCCATCTTTCAATCAAGCTGCGCCTCAGCTGAGCAACGCAAACGCTTTAATGGAAAACGGAAACACTTACGACTTGGAGCTTCTTAAAGGCCTCTCGCGACTCGTTCTCTTCCACGCCGTAGCTCCTGCACACCTGACTGAATTCTGTCTCGTCGATCGAGCCGTCACCTACGAACATTATTATTCTTTTATCGTTATCCTTGTTTCAGACATTGACATCCCGTGGCGAAAATTATTGCGCCTTTGCACTATTTGCTACTGCGAATCGATGAATTTCATTAAAAATGCATTTATATTTATGTCGCAGTTTGTGTAGTTGAATATTACATGTGGCACGCTCGCCTATGTAAATTGTTTAATCCATATGTATGCTTACGAGAGGAAACATTTATTCAAATTATTACGGCTATGGACGTGTAAGTTTATAACGCTGTCCACTATTATTTCAATAAACAACGGTCCAACAACATTTCGTTTAATCACGCATTTTATATTCGTACGATTGGATTGGCCATGTCTTTGGTCTCCAAGCCGCATTTATCGTACGATTTGCATTGCTTTTTATATACTTTAAACGCTTCTCCAGATTTATCGATCATTTTAACATAAATGAGATGTGTTTAATTGTATTAAGCGAGCGAATGCCTTGGCCCGAGTCTTGCTGAAAATGCTGTTTTTCATGAATTATTTATAAAATTTATTACACTTTGGTAATAATCATTGCGTCGATGATTGCGTTAATATTATTGCCTTAATATTGTTATATTCTATTAGTATTTACGTTTACGCGAGTTAAGTTAACAATGCTTACGATTTACGAAATACTCGCGAATGAAGTATTTTTTAATCTTGCGTATAAATGACTTTTTAAACTTGAATAGTTCCTTGAATGGTTTATTTTATATAAATAATTCGAAAGTCGCGACTATTCCTTTGGAAAAGAAATCTGATTATTCTTTATCTTGACTTTATCTCATCGATAACCATTCTTATATCATTTGCGCGGACGTGTTTATGTAAATATGACAGATTGTGACGTTATGTCTGAAGGAACATTGTCAATGGTTCTATTAATTTAATTGTAATGTCCGTTCAAGAATGTTCAATTTAACGATTGGCATTGAATTCACAATCTCCCGAGAGAAATGCGTTGCCGCAGCCGGACGACGAACCGCGGGCAATAATTTCCCGAATAAGAGCGAATCTCCCTCAACTCACCAGAAGTATCCTCAAGGTCGAAGACGAGATTCATGTAAGTCTGCTGCCATTCCACCGCGTGTTCCGGATCTTTGGCGTACTCCTCCCACATCGAGTACCATTCGTCTCGGCTGATCTGCATGCGAATCATTGAAAATGGTCGATTAATCGGAAATGAAAGAAAAGCGCAGTGGGAAAAGTGCGATCGCATGCAACGAGACTGCAATTTGCATAGAGCGCCGTGCAACGAGACCTTTGTCCTCGCCTCCAATGGCGGCTCGTCTAATGGTTTATCTACTTAAGTCTCAAACTGCGACAATCTAAATCACTTAACCACTCGAGAAGTATTACGTGTTCGCGGGTCTGAATGAAGTTTGTCGCCGACGAAACGCGTAAATGGAACGGCCGGCCGTCTGATCTGTTTCGATACGCTTGCAACTCGAGATATTGAAATCTCTGGCTACATTTATCATTCCTCTTTCGCTTCTTATCTAATTGTTTCCCGAACAGATATAATAAGGGCAGATCCCGAGATATGCCAATGGCCGGGAAGAATTTCTTGAAATAAACGAGAAACATCTTTCTACTTGGAGCTGAGGAGGAATATTTCATTAAGAAAATAGTCACTGGCAGGTTGGCGAAGATTATCCGATGGACGGATCGAATTATTTTAGTCGAAAATTCGCGTGATTGCATCTTTCTTAATATTTAATGCCCATCAGTCAAAATAGCCGCCCCTTACACTCGATAACAATTAATTGCACATTAAAATTAAAACGCGTCATAAGCTTTTAGCACAAAACTTTGATAATTAAGTAATTTAGACACGTTCATATTTTACGACAAAACTATTTTTTAATTTCGTACAGAATCTGTGAAATTATATGAATTGTTGGTGATTATTTTGAATACATTTTGAGAACATTGAATATACATTCTTCGTGTACATTATAAAATTAGAGAAAAGATTTTATTATTTTTCTCGTAGGATATAAACTGAATAGCATAACATATAATACATGTAATGAACGAGATAAATAAAAATGTAATTACTTAATTACAGAGTTCGAGCATTGCTTCGATAATTCATTTATTCATTAACATATATTAACAATTAATAGTGTCTGACTAATTACTCCTAATTACCTGCCCATCATTGTCAGCATCAGCTCGTTTTCGAAGTCCATCCCATACAATATTCAAAGTATCTTTAGTTTGCTGAAATCTTGGATGATTGGCAGCCCATCCCCTTGCCTCGCAAATTTTCTGATTTCATAAAATCTTGTTAATCCAATATTTAAACGTTAAAACTAAATTAATTTCTAACTTAAATTCTTAACTTACGTGTACTGCTAAATCAAAATCTTTTATGTCGATCGATCCACTTTGATTGACATCTGAAAGAAATATTCAAGTTGCAATAATTTATAACCTTAATTTATAAAATAGATTTGCAATATTAAAAAAGAATTTTTTATTTTTTTTTAACACAAGGAAATTTATATATATATATATATATATATATACCCAATAATATACATTTCCTCGCTATATGCAAACATTAATAAAATAAATATATATTTATATGCATCTTTCTGCAGAATATTAATTTCCATTGGACAAGTTTTTGAAAAATCACTAATAATTATTCGTATTTCTAAATACTGACAGAACTATTGATTATGAAACATTGTATCATATTTTTAGGTTTTCAACTTTCCAAAATTTAAAAATCATGATATTTATTTTGTTCACATTGTTATTTTCTACTGTTGCAGTTGTATGGTGAAACCTAACAAATTAAGATTAAAAATTGTGAACAGAAATTAATCACTTTTTGTTTTTAATTACACAGAAATGTTGAAATTAAATTATTTCTTATATGTCTTTGAAGTTTAATAAATATATAAGAATTTTGCCTGCTAATAACACTCGTTCTAAATATTCTTATATATTTAAAAATTAATTATACGCTGTTTTTTTAAATTACATCGAAAATTTGCCAAAGAAAACGCTGTTCACTTTTGTTACTTCACTTTTTAATGGTGAATGGAAAATTTTACTAAATAAATTTTACTTTTGAAAAAAGAATATATCAATTTTTCGGCGAACCGTCTTCTTGGAAATTTATAATCTTACTTTATAAATTGTTCTTTGTACCTTTGAGATTCTCTTATTAATTAAATAATTTCTAAAATAAAAATGTTCATATTACAATGTTAAATTAATAATTTCAGTAAACTATAGTAACATTAGTATAGAAACGTCTTATAAAAAGTCTCATCTTTATAATTATCATATAGTAGTAAAACATTATTTTCTTATTCTAATATTTCATTTGAAATTAATGGTATTTTGTTGTTAATAATCGTTTTATATTCTATAGAAATTTTTCAATTAAAAAAATATCGATCAATATCATCTCATTCGTATAATTTTCATTCTTTTAATTAAAACATGAAAACAGATAATAATTCTGTTACATTCTTCACATATACATCTTTGTGTATTATTCCTTTTACATATTTTGCACTCTCTCTCTCTCTCTCTCTCTCTCTCTCTCTCTCTCCTTGTCCCAACTATTTGTCTCTATCTAACTATCTATCTGTCTATCTTGTTCTATCTCTCTTTGCCTCCGTGTGTCTCCCTTTATATCTGTCTCTTTTACTTAATTTATCAATGGAAATTTTTGCCTAAATTGAAAAGAATAGAAACTTCAAAGAAAACGATGAGGCTGTTATCCATCAACTATCGTCTATACGTGATACTTTCTTTTTAAAATCCGTTTCATTCCATTTTTCAGTTCTAAACCTTTTTGTTCTTAAATTGCAATTCCTCTCAATTGAAGCTGTCTTGAAAATTAAAACATAAAGTCAGAAAAAATTTGTCCTCGCTGCCTTTCACATTTTTTCTCTCTCCTTATCCTCAGGATGATAAATATTAAGTAGTAACATACGTTATATATTAGATTTTATAATTTTATATTTTATATTTTATTACTAGTCTCGTTTAAATACCACGTGGATGGCACTGACGTTTGTCATTCGTATTAATCGATTGACATTTATTAGGCATAAATGATTGTCAACAAATTTGTCACAACTAAAGATTAGCAGCGTTATTACATACCAACCTAATGGCAATTTATTTTTCAACGATTCGTATTATCTATAGCCAGAAATTTTGTACAATTGAAAATTAACTGTTTAAGATAATAATAAACGTAAGATTACGAATGATTACGAAATTCAGACATTTTGTCTAGAGTGAAAGTTTTCACGCTCCTTTATGATATGAATAGCGTACTAGTTCAGTTTTATTTTTTCAGTGTACAATCTTGATTAATGATTCTCAATGTAAATGCTGATATTTTTCTGAATACATTGAAGGAGACGACAATGGCGTAGGCTATATGAACATTAAGTAAATTATTTATGAAACGAGCTTCTGATTTTTCTTATGCTTAATAAAAGTAAAAGTTCTGCATTTTTAAATGCTAAATATTTTGATATTTTACATGTATCTAAGGATTATTTATATCTTCTAGCTTTATTGAAACGAGTATTTTTAACATCCTCTGCATCTTTTTATTCCAATACTGTAAAAATTATGTATTTATTAGCTGTTGTTTACGAATTTATTTAGTTATATCGAATTGTAAAATTTAATAGCATATTTATTTTCATATAACGATTATTTAGTTAATTAACAAAATATTTTGGTCAGAATGGAATGTTTATCTTGCACAACAAAGCATTAAAAGGAAATATTTTTTAATTCAATATAACGTATTCCGATAAACTTTCTTTTTTTTTTCTCTCTTTTTTTTTTTTTATAATTAAATGTGACTATATAATAAATAATGTATCAAAAATTGTATGTTATGGATATATATATTATTTGTAATAAAGACGTGAAATTTTGGATTGTTTTTTAAAAATGAAATATATTATCTATGTGATATTTTATATTTCTTTAGATACATAAATTAAATAATGTTATGTATAATAATAATTATATATGTGACATATTTCATTAATAGAAATTACAGTATTCTTTCAGTAACAATTAAATAAGCCAAACATATAAACATCTAAATATTTTTCAATGTTAAATATTTATTATAAAGAAAAATAACCATTTTCTTGCTGATTTTTTAATAATGATAGAATAAATTTCAAGACATCGCGTCATGAATTTTTTATTGGTACTATCGTATAATTTTGTGAGAGTTTTACGAATACTTAGTATAATTTATTTAAAAGACTATTACGAAATAATGCATAAACGTTCTTTATTATGTAATCATTAGAGAATCTAAGGCTTTTTAAATAATAGTAAAGATATAAATAATAAGATCTTAAACAATAATAATAATAATAATAATAATAATGTAAATGTAAATAATATGCAATATCAATCATGATAAATACAATTATTATCATAATAATTTATTTCTTTAAATTAATAATGATATTACAATATGCGACATTATGTGATTATCTATTTACAATTTTAACTTAAATATACAAATTATTAATTTGTAATAATATTAATTCAATGCATACTATTAATTTCTAATCAATGAAATTATTATAAAGCATACGGCTCAATGGTTTATTGAGAATAATTGCAGATATATTTTTGAATATTAAATATTATATGCTGCTAATATAAGATAATGAGAAATATTGAAACGATTATTATTATTTATTTAGCAATAATATATTGTCACACCCGTTACAAATAATCATATCATTGCGAAAGTAATTCAACAATATCACCATAATATTAACCATTATTATACGGAATTTCTCAGCCTGCTGCAATAATTCTATATTTTATTACTTTATTCGCATATAACAGTATGCATGATGGCCCAGAGTATTAAAAAAAAAAAAAAAAAAAAAAAAAAAAAAAAAAAAGAAGAAGAAGAAGAAAAATAGAACCTTAATTTTCAATATCCTTTTGATATGTTAAGAACAAATGGATTTTAATTGACACAAAAATTATGATGTGTCTTACAAAGCTTATGTCAAATGAATAAGTAGGCCGAAGTTTTGAAAAATTTTTGAATCTTGAATTAATTCATGTATTATTCACACGATAACCATACGATTATAACTATAATGTCGAATCTAAGTTCTTAACTAAAGTAGGGAAATACAATGAAATAATAGCTTTAAAATATGTACTTGCTCATCTTAAATGGCACGCATATGAATATAAAGTACGAGCTTGATAAAGTAAATTATTATTATTGCGCTAAGAGTTTCAACTAGAGACTTAACAGACGATTGGTCGACGTGCATAAGCGCTTGAAAGGGACCGATTACAAAGCCACTAAAGTGAGTATTGACTTAACGTCATCTGGATTCAAAGTAAATGGAATTATGTCGCAGTGAAAGTAAGCGAAAGTCTACGCAGTATAATAACGATCCTATTTTTAGCAGCTAATACGTGACAGTGTTAATATCATGAAAGTTTACTTTTTATTATACGCGTGATGCGTTAAGAGAATAAAGAATTTCTAAATGTAGGCAATCGATCATAGCAATGGCTACCAAAGAGTTTTATCGCTTATAGGGCAAATGAAAATTTACAATATCATCATAGCCGAGCGGTGATATTGAACTTTCATATTTTTTTTTACCTCTGTCGTATATTTCTCTTTAAAAAGTTTAATCATTCGAGTCTTATGGATTGTGTTGTTGAACGCGGTTTTAATTCTTTGTTTTATAAAATAACAAAGAACTTTTTAGGATCAATCGATTGAGATCTGATAGTTAAATATAACGGAATTCTTAAGAAACATTTAAATTCGGAAAATTTGTATTACGCATTCATTTACATGAAACTAACAAATTGGATATCTCTCAATGCTTTAGCTATTCAAGTTTTAATGCAATTGAATTTTTAATAAATATCTTGCTCTATGGAAAAATCGATTATAATAAATTCTAACAATATAACTCGGTTGCGTTAAACTTAATAATTAATAATTATTAATAAAATTAATTATTAAAAATAAATTATTTAAAATAATCGCTCATAATATTTTGTGGGTGTAGAGTCAAAAGGAGGAAAAAAGTTAATAAATGCTATTTCCTCGATAAAATAGTTGATGTCATTCAAATTTTCATCTTTAAGAGATTTAAACATTCCAAGTGCTATTAATCAAACGGCATGATATAGAAAAGTAGATTTATTAAAAAGAGATCGAAAATGAGAGTCTTTATGAATTTCAAGGTCATTTGTACTTTGTAGTAAGTCAATTTATCATGTAGTTGAAGAAGATTCATCGGTAATATCTTTTATTAAATTTTTAATAATAATCGTACAATTTTCATTACTTAAAATTTAATGTCTAATTTTTTAATAATCGCAAGTGTTGAAAATTAACAGGTTAAATGTTTTTATGACTTCCTCCAACCCTAATAAAAGTGAAAAGTAAAGCAATCCTATTATCAGGAACAATAATTACAAAGACAATATAATTTGAGTTTTACTTCTTTTAATGATTATTAAGTAAGACGATAAATACTGATATGTCGAATTACAAAATTCATAAGTATAAGAAAATTTTGTGTACATGTTCAATATGAGGGGAAAGATGTTGTTAGGATTTTCTTCTTTCTTTATCAAAGTAAAGCAAACTTCAATATATTATAATATACATAAATTTTCGCCACTGTTCGCCAAATATAAAGATTTCTTCAACATGGTATCTTTGTCGATAATTTTGATTAATTTTCAAGATAACAGCGTATCTTAAACAAATAGATTCGTATAAAATGTTTACGTTTTTAACAATTCTGCTTGTCTCAAGAATATTCGCACATCGCGTTTATTTTCTTTGTTTCTTTGCTTTTTTTTTTCAATTACGGCAGAAGGCTCGGTCTCTAAAGAAAGGATTATATTAGAAAGGATTATATTGGAAAATTTGAATAGTTCCACGCTGCGTAAAATGTGTCGAGAATAACATCTAAGATCTTAGCCGATAAGTTTCGTCTCAAAGAGACGTTAATAGACGACCCTGAGATTCCGAAAATATGAAAATGATTCGGGGCTCGCACTTTCAATACGGAATCATCACAATGTAAAATGTGCCCGGCACTCCGCCATTCCACTGAAAAGAAAAGGGAAATGTGAATACAGAACAAGTGAGATGGAGTGCGGGAAGAACCGAGAAGAGGTTAAATTTATTTTTACTCCTCCCTTGAGCGAAAGGAACGCTACCGTCGTGGGGGAATCGCGTAGATCTCCGAGCACAAGCGGCGCACATGAAAGGAGAAAAAAATCAATCGCCCGGTCGAGGGTGTGAATTTTTAAATTACTAAGCCTAGAACACATCCCTACCTCTTCTGTCTCCATCCTCAGTCGGCAAGTGGCGCACAATCGAAGGCCACGATGTCGATGTGCCACTGGCTTAGCGTCCCGAGCTCCGTTAAAGAAACGAAACAGCCTCATATTAAATTATAAGGGAGCTTTAAGGCGCTTTTCATCTCCAGGACATGAGCTTCGCCACGTTTCTTTAAGCTTTCTTTAAGCTTCCGATGCAAGTGTCCCGCGTCATTCCGACAATTGGACTTTTCTTTACAGCGGCATGCGAGACGCGCGTGTTATAGAAACCTTTTCTTACCAGTAAAAATTCCCTTTATGTTGATGCAACGAGGAATGAGCATTGTTGGAAATATAAATGTCCGCCTTGGTGAATTGCGCTGAGATGGAGAAAAATGGTGTTCAAGTGATGTAGGAAGATTATTGGGATTGCTCTTTTCAGAAACGCTCGCCTTCGACTTTTTGTCTTATCAATGGAGCGTTAATTTTATTTAATCTGACTTGTGAAAAATCATTCCCCCCTTTGAAAATTACAGCACTTATAAATTTTGCATGACTTTAAAATATAACGAAGAGAAAATATTTGATAGACTCGCGTTATAATAAATTTTTTTCATTTTTATATCGGCAATGAAGATTTATCTAACTGACCTTCATGGCTCATTAATGCAATAATTTCGAAGCACAATCTTATATTTCATAATAATTTCATTAATCTCTATCTCTCCTCTCTCTCTCTCTCTCTCTCTCTCTATCTATCTATCTCTTCCTCTCTGTCTCTATCAAGAATATAAATTTTTTTTTTAAATTTGTCTTATTAAAAAAACAAGACATTATAATATCAATACTCATTTTTTTTTCTCTTCACTTTCTCAATACTCATTCGTAGATAAATGCAAATATGTTTGTAAAAAATCCCATTCGATTTATATTTATTACAGAAAATTACCTTATAAAAATATCTTTAGTATATAAAAGAAGTTAGATTATCTACTTGCATATCTTCCTTTTGTATTCAGAATATCTACCACATACTTTCAAATAAGAATTTTCGTTAGTGCCACTCTTTCATTTTTCAACACATTAATCAATCGTTTTTTTCTCTTCGTTTTTTATGCTTTTGATTTAGAAAAGTTTTGGAAAAGCACACGACGGTAGATAGTAGAATTGTTATTGAATTTAAAAGTCTTATATTCGAGGATACAAATTACTACATTTAAATTGCATTGATTACTTGGATGATCAACTAATTGCATACAATTTATAATATCGTAATCTGTATTTATTTACATTTCACCCTACACTACTGCAAACGTGAAATATTAATTTATAATAGTTTTAAAGTATTAATCGCAACGTGGACATACACCAGGTCTAAGTTAAAAAAAAATTTCATCAATTTTTTTTTTTTTTCGTTGATGTTCTTGAAGATATATTTTGAGAATTATCAAACGCTTTTAATATAAATTTGCAGTTAAATGTTCAAAATATATAGTACTTTAAATGATTAGTAAATTCGGAAAACTTGCATTAAAAGTTAAACGAACACTATCCCCGTTAAATAAGTCCGATTTTATACAAGAAATTTATAATAATTATTATTGAACACTCTTTTTAACATACTTTCCACGCTTCAATAAATAATTAATTTTCTGCCTGAGTATATTGTAGCTTTCTGGTACGTCGTACCGAAGCTACGTTTTTTTGAAACCTTTCTTTTTTATTTCTCTTGCCTTGTAGAAACTGTTTGCATTCTGCCATTCTAAAACCTTCTTTCAATTTTACCTTTTCAACCGCAAAGCTTGACTACAGACTTTGCACTATAGCTTCACTTGATAAGAATTTCAGTATGCAAATTAATTTTAAGGAACCGCAAAAATCCAGTCCTCTTTGGCACAGACTTTGACATTTACGGATATACTTTGTTCTTAATTTTGCAACCAATTTCAAAAGAAAAAAACTCCTATAAATTTCTTATATTAATAGTCGCTTTTGTCTAATCGCCGTTTGTTATTGTTCGGTATTCCTTTTTCTTAGTTGAAGTCTCTTTTGACTTTTAAACTTGCCGTTGTCGTTATTCTTCAAGAATACTTCATCCATTAAAAAAAAAAACTGCACAATAAATAGTTAGAAATTGAAGCATGTACTTACCAAAAAACGTGTTGAAGACGAAGAGCAGCTTTTTCTTACGGAATTCTGATAACGGCATACTTCCCCTGCAATAGCGAAAACAATAAGTTTAGCGACAAATTTAAACAATAAGTTTAAATATTTATAATAGTTGTCGACTTTGGTTCTCTTTTATATAAAATAACGTTACAATGTTATTTTGACATCAAAAGGAGCATTGACAACTAGTAATAAAAATTGTATTCTGTTGATAGTGTACAATTATATTTGAATGCTTATAATTATTAATTGATGGAGACAAAGTAAATAATAGTTAGCTAATTGCATTATTATCGAATAATAATTACAATTTAGTCGATCAATTTATTTTAAATATGATTCTTGTTCGTCAATGAACATTTATAAATTATTTTGACTGCTTTGACAAAATTACATCGATGAATATTGGTTTATAAAAAAAAAAAAAAAAAAAAAAAAAAAAAAAAAACAATCATCGAACTGCAGTTTTATTTATACTTTCTTTGCATAAGTACTTTTAAAGTAATTAATGCCGCACCGTAGCAGCATCAAAAGAGTAATTAAGTAAAAATTATTGATGCAGTTAATTACTTTAAATGTCGGACTTATCGGTTCAAATTATTTATTTATTTTATTTTCTTCTTCTCTTCATTATATCTTAAAGTACATAAACTCGTTACATTATCTGCTTTCGGTATTAATGTTCTTAATCCCTTTAGTTATAAGGAGATTAGAAGACATTATTTTCTCTTGTAAATAATACTGCGATCAATGGAATAATTTTGCTTAAAACAACACTAATGTTAACTAAAAATATAACTTAAACAATAATTTACAAACTGTTTAATTCAAATAACTTAGCATAATCAACAAATTTTTATTTATAATTACAAATTAGTTTGCAAAATTTATAAGCAGTGACACTCCATTGCATTTACTCTATATTAAGTTTCTTTCAGCCGTGCAATTATCTTGTTTTTAATTTAATTTAATTTTCATATAAGTAAAATAGAATATAAAGAGAAAATGATAATATAAGCAGCTTTGTAGATGCGCTCGCCTCGATTTTCAAATATTCTCTTTCATTCCATATTGTTAAGTTACTCGGTACTTGGCAAGCCGTCAAAAATCATTCGCGTCTACTTGATAATCAAGCGGTAAATACTCCCGATGGAAGCCTTTCAATCATTCAGCAATAAGTTTTACACATCGAAAGCTCTGTGTATACTGATCTTGGCGCCTCGATATGCACTGGAGATACAAAAAGTCACCTCTCCGATAAAGATTTGTTCCCCTATTGGAAAGCAGTTACGCGCGGGCGACAAGAGAGGCAACCGATTTAGGTTGCATCCCCTCTACGCCTCTCAACACATTTCTTTCGCTTTTATCCCTCCCTCTACCTTTTTCGCGCGCCCGCGCGTTTTCTCTTGACTCCTTCTCCCGCGGCTTCTCGCTACGCAGTTCAAGCTTTTACTCTCCCGAGAGCCCTTTCCCAGACAGCACAGCAACTCTCTTTGTAATAAGCACGAGGAGCGACGCAAAGCGATGAATAGAGAATCGATGCGCGGTTTCCGATTGACCTCGACTACATGCGAGTAGCTGATTTGCGAAGGGTGAATACCGACCCTCGTCTCATCCGCTTCTCTCTAACACACACGCACACGCGCACACGCGCGCACGCACACTATATATATATATATATATATATATATATATATATATATATATATATATCACTCTTACTCTCACTCTCTCACTCTCTCATTCTCACTCTCACTCTCACTCTCTCACACTCTCTCTGACTCTCTCTTTCTGTCGATGCTAGTACCAATTTACATGTAAAGTTGTCATGATAGCCACCTTTTCGAACGAAGCTTTTCCAAATTAAAAAGCCAGGCTACTCTTTCAAATAAATAATAGTGATAGAAAACAACGCAGATGCGAAGCGAATTCCCGTTGATCGAGCGAATAACACATGACTTTGGCCCTTCCCTGACATTTCGATTTTATGCATTTTTCCAAACTCTGTTATTTCATGCGACATAAGGCTGAGCTCTATATTTTCTACTTTTAAATACTGATAATACATTGAAAATAATAGAGCAGACTTCATACATAAATTCAGCTCAATGAACGTACTCTTATTTTAATATATTTTATCAGGATCGCCACATAATGATATTCATATTCAATAATATCAAAATTTTCAAAACTTATGTATCGCTGTTGATAAAGTCGGTAAAATCCATTGCTCGGAATAAATTCTTCATTTTTAATAAAATCGATTATTACAGTACGACTAGATAATTATTTTATCATTTTATCAAGTATTATCAATATACTGTATACTTTAAAATAAATGTAAACTAATATTAAATGAAATTCCGAATAAGCACCAATATATTGTTTTTTTTTTCTTTTTCTTTTTTTTCGTTATTTTTAGTTATTATTTCTATTCATACGGAAAATGTTAGGTAACTATAAATATATTTCGCGAGAACCTTGGCGAAATGATCTTTATGAAATAAAGGATAAAGTAAATAATTATTTGAATTTTATGTTACTACGTTAAATGTAATTAAACATATATTACTATTATAATTTGATAAGGACTAAAAGCGTTGAATAGCTAAGTTATCAAAAGTATTGTCTCGCGTCCAGACGGAATACCACAAAAAATCCACTTTTAATTTTTCAATTCGGTACTTCGATTACTTTCGTTAAATGTCTACCAATTTTCTTTTCTTTTTTTTCAACAGAACGTTTTACATGTGCCGTATCAACTTAAATGAGTGACTGTTCACTTACGTTTAATCCGAAACTCAACTATCGACGATTTAAAAACTTTGGCTTTCTTTTATAGACTTGTCCGTGAGAAAAATTAAACGTCACTGTCAGTCGATTTTTTTTTTGTCTACACTTTTTATTAAAAGCCTTACACTGATGAAGAAAACACCTATCTAACTATCAACATCTGTGTGCGTATATATAAATATATGATACAAAAGACTACAAAGGATATACTTTTTCTGAGTAAATTTTTTTATCAAGCCATGCTTATATATATATATATATATATATATATATATATATACATATATGAACGGTACAACATGTGGGTGTGAAGATAAAAAAGGAATGAGATGAAGAGTACCCGTAAGTCCATTATGACGCAGGTTCCCTCGTAATTTTTTATGGCACCGCAACAGTAATCAGCGATATCAAAACATATTACTATTACACCCACACTTACTTCTCTTATTGACTCCCACTCTCTCATTTTCGCTGTTTCAATCCCTTCCTCACTCTACCACTTCCCATATTTATCTTTCTATATATTTACTTATCTCACTACTTTTGCCTATCTTTCCCTCCCCCTTCCCCCTCCCCCGTCACTCACTTTTTTTTTTTTTTTTGTTTTATCAGATTCAGAATCATAAATGACGACTTTGGTTGTATGTACACAAACTCAAATTGCAGACTTTCACGAAATTGAGCAAACAAAAGAACGTTTGAATAATATATCTTTCATCATCTCAACGTCTCTCTCTTGGTTTCCTGAGTAAGCATAGTATTCGTACGAATAACGGTATATTTGTTTAAGCTGTAATAGATTTGTGTAATTTCGTACATGCATAAGATATCTGTTCGGAATGGCTAATAAATTCAAATTAAAATCAATGAAATTACATACATCCTTCAAATTGTCATTCAACAATGTCACGATCTGCTTCAAAATTAGTAGAATTTCTAAGTAATCTACATAATGTTTTAATTTTAATTATGTAAAGGATAATATTTTTGTATATAAATTGTAAAAGTCATAATAGATATTTAATTCATTCGTGTAATACAAGAACAATAATATTTTCTGCAAACTGCATTTTGAAAGAATAATGCTATAAAATAAACGTAATAATAACAATAATAATACAAAATTGTTACTTACTAATTCATATTTGTATAGGATATTTACATTTACGTTTTCAAAATTTCCGAACATTTTATACATAATGTCGGCATTTCTTAATGAATTTTTTGCTGTTAATATTAAACAACTCGTATCGAAACACGAATTTTATTTAGAATATTATTCATTATATTTCAAGGATTGTAATTAATGATTTGTTCTAAACTTCGTTCTACTATATATTATTAATTAATATTTATTAGAATAGAAAAAAATTATTCTAACGTTCGACATGTAAGTTTTCAACTGAAAAATCCATGTCTTCAGAATAAAGCATTAAACGAATTTTATCTGTTTATTATTAAATAATTACACTAATTATTCAAAAAATGGTAATTATATTTACTTTTACTTTTAATTTATCAAGTACAATAAAATATTGAGATATATATGTGTGTGAATAATGAGCGAATACGCATGAAAAATAATAAAAATAAAACGCTGATGCTTTCCCATAGAAATGTTATAAGAATTGGCAGGTCCACGAGCTGCCCGTCAATAATATATCGATTAACTTTTATCTCTCTTTACTAACGAAGGCCATTACTTAATCAATCTAATCGACAGTCTTCGATTTACAAAAATGTGGTCATAAAGCCCTTCGTCGTGCTAATAAATCGTGATTCCTTTGTACATCAGAGTTTTCGAGTCAGGCAACTCCAAACGATAATAGAAATAAGAAACTAAAATGAGTTAAGAAACTTCAAACAAAAAGTCTGCCGGTGTCTATATACGATATGCGCCACTGAGTTTTCTTCTACCCAAGTTAATCTTAAATAAAGTTTTTGAAAAGTATTGCCATTGTCTTTTTTTTTTTTTTTTTTGCTGCTCGCTTGGCTGGTGGAGGGAAATTACAAAAATCCCTTCTTCTTCGCCTCAGCAAAATTGACTGATCGCGCAGAATACATGTGTCAAAAAAAAAAAAAAAAAAAAAAAAAAAAAAAAAAAAAAAAAAAAAAACCCCCCCCTAAAAAAAATTTTTCCCATCGCTCGTCTAAAAAAATTTGCTACTCCCTTGCGCTATATTTATATCATGATATATGGACCAGAATGAGAAGTCAAAATTTAAAGATAATTTTACTTAATATAATCATATATTTGGAACATTTTGAACTTACGAGTAGAACGAGTAATGAGATAATAACGTGAAATATATAAATTTTGCATCAATTGGAAAATTCTTAAACTAATCGTAACTTTTACAAATTTTATTATTTTCAATAATCTTGTATATTAGGGTAATTTAGGGCAAAATATCGAAATTATAATTAACATATTTCCCTCATTAAATTATATTCATAATACATTCACTTACATCACAAAGATGCAGTTGAATTCGTTTTTTTTTTTTTTTTTTTTTTCAACTATCAAAACTAGAAATTATATTTCAATTAAGAAAGCAATTTCACCTTTAGATATTTGATTAAAGATACCCCAGTCAAAAATTTTTATTGTCTAATATAGTATCAATCAGTGGAAAATCATTTCTTTATGCTGTTCAGGAATTAAAAATATCATTATAAAATGCTCAAACAGTAAAAGTCTAATAATTTGATATAGTGGAAGAATCTGTTGATTTACGCATGATTAAATACGAATTTAAATATGTAATTTATATAAGCTGTAAATGATTAGTCAAATCATTGAACAAATACTTATTTTTATTTCGTACACTATGTATCGTTAAATATTTATTTAATTCGTGCATATCGTATATTTTTACACATCCACATTTACAAATTTTACAATTTACAATTGATTTTTTAAGCATTTTAATGTTAAGGGTGACCATTGGAAACTTCCTTCTAACTTCTCAATTGAAATTTTGTATGCTAATTCTTGGATCATACTTATATTGTGATGCCGTTTTTTCTTTTTATCGACAAATGTATTTGTCTCCCTAGGTTACATGTTAAATTACACTATACGCGATACTTATATATTATAGTTATTTATAAAATTGTAAAATTTATTAAGTAAGTAATTTAGAGTCCTAAATCGAAAATTCATATTATTTGAGAAAACATTGTATGAGTTTTTTATTTATCAACTGTAAGTTCCAAGTGTCGTAGAGCACTTTTTGTGCACTTAACAAAGTAAAATTCAACTTCTAAAAGACGAATTATCAAGTTAGCCGTAAGACTTCTATTATAAAATAAAAATCTACCGCCATTGTTCTAAGCTTACATTCTTCCGATGATTATTTAAAGTCAGCCAAGTACATTGAAAAGATATTAAAAGATTAGAAACCTTATTGAAGCTTTCAATTTAATTAAATAATAATATTATATGCGGAAATTATTAATAAATTGTACAAAAAAAAAAGTAGTTTTATATAGGTTAAGTATTATAAAACTATTTCAAAAGAGTGTATAGTTCTTCTTGAGTAGAAGTATCGAAGCAAAAAAAAAAAAAAAAAATTCAAATTATAAATAATGAAATGGATATTTTTTTTGACAGACAAAAGGAAATTTAATCAATAATTTTCCAAGTTGTTTATCATAAGCGTTGGTATGGGATCCACCACATTCGTATAAATTGCCTCATAATAATAACAGTCATTATTCTAACATACAAATGACCATAATATATTATAGCCATTATTGCTTATAGCTAATAGCTCATATCGATTACATAACATAATAATAATAACGTAACAATAGTATTGTAATGGTGAATGGTGTTTGAGCGATTCATAGGAATGGTACGTACCATATTCATTCGACAGAAGGCAGTAAGATGGCGAATGAGAAAAAGCTTACTTAACTTGATTTATCATTAGATTTATGCGTTGCAAATAATCGCCTCGAGGCACGTAAGCATTGATGATGTAACGCTGGGCGATTCCTTCTATTTATCATTCGGCATGCTCACCTCGCTCGTTATCAAAATTCGAGAGCGATGACGCTAGATTTGTGATAAGCAGTGAATCTTAACATTCCCCCGCACGTGCTAGATCAGCATGCATGCAAGTCCCGCTCGCGGCGCCGTTCATGAATCTTGCGAGCAATGGTTGAAACGACCGCGCAATCAAGACGAAACTCCAACTCGGCCGACCACCCCTCCCCGTCCCGCCTCTTTGACGTTATTCCGCGAAGTCCAAGGGGGATGGGGCGGGAACAGCGAGCTGGAAATAATTCGCCGGTAAAGTAGCGCGGGAGCTGAAAAAGGAGACATGAGGGAATCGTGAGGGCAGCGTCGAGATATAAGGATGGAGATTGACTGGCCTGGCTTGATATTCTTCCAGAAGGGCGAAAGAATCCTGTGGCCGTTCAATCTTGAATAAACGAGGGGATGCTGGACGGTCGACCATGGGGAAGCACTTGTGCATGTAGTTCCAGAAAGAACAACGGACGAATAGGCGACAGCACGCGCATTCCCTGCATAAGGGAATATGAGAGAGAGAGAGAGAGAGAGAGAGAGAGAGAGAAAGCATGTGCATATGTAAGCATTAAAATGAAACGTAGATGATAATAAGGAGTAAATGATCCAGGAAAGAAATTATTAGTGTTTGAATACATAGAAAAAATGGAACGTGTTCCTTCAAGTTTTGTAATTTCAGTTAACCTCACACAACTCTCGCAACACTTTATCCATCAAATACGAAATTTGCACTTCGTTAAAATTATATATTAAAAATATCGTTGCATTCTGCTTTTTTAAGTGTTGTTTTACGAGCATTCGTTATTCCCTCAACATTTTAATCGTCAATTTAATTGCATTAAATATCACTGATCGTTGTCTACTTTTTGACGACTTCTAATAAGGCTCATTTAAAAAGTAAAAGCAATTTCTCGAGAGATTTATTCCCCCAAGCGCAGCGTTGCACACTATCGTAAACTTCCTTAGCTGAGATAAACGAGCATAAAAAGATTTATGTCGAATCTGACTTTAAATTCGTTTGATCCGAGTGCAATGCAAGGCGAAAAGAGCCTGTAGAAAGGAATGTCAGGTACGCCAGACTTCCCCCGTTCAACTTCTAGCCGTAAAACGCCATGCCTGACAATTGCGGAGAATTACATGGGAAAATGTGTACACC